ATGTAATAATTCAAATGTAAACCTAAAAATTTACAGCCAGTTTTGAAAGAGACGCATCTTAGCTCTGGAAATTGTGATTGAATATGTCAATGCTGTTGTAATGAAACGCTTCCTCTAATTATATGGTTATTAAATAAATAATTTTTAAAGTAATTTTAAAAAATAAGAAATCGACGATTCAACGCCATGTAAAAGAAACCATATGGGACAGAGAATTCGAGATCCAGTCTGCCTTTCGGCTACTGTTCTGCACTCCCGCGTTACTGAAGCCTTGGACCCTGGCCTTAAGGTACTCGAGAGGCCAGCTTGTGCTTTTAAGTCCCAGCCTGGGAGCTGGAAAGCCTGCCAAGCCATCTGCCTGCAGCTTCAGGCTTTAATTCCTTGTTTGCACTGGCCAGAAGTGAGGTGAGAACAATAGCCCTTTGCAGCTCTCAGTCCTGCGTTCATCTGCTTTACACTCCTGCCTCGCGGGTCCCCCTCCCGCACTGGCCACGGCAGCCACCCACAACCAGGTCCACAGCCAACAGAACTCGAACCATCCCCAGGGACCGGCTGCGGCGGAACTATAGAAACTGCAGGCGGAGAACCGACGGGACCGATCGCTCCCAGGTCCCCACACCTGGGGGCGTCACCGCGGGAGCTCCCCACCGGACAAGACCCCCGGGGAGGTGGGGAACCCGCCCACCGGGCGAGTACCGCGCCGGGGAGGAGCGGGGCCGCTGTGCGAGCGTGACCCCGGGGCGGAGGCGGGCTCCCATTGGCCGGAGGGCAGGTGACGAGCAGGGGGCGGGTCCCGGGAGGGGCAGGCGGAGCAGTCAAAGGGAGGCGTGCGCCGCACAGTGTCAGTTTTCGGAATCCCTGCGCTCCCGGCTGCTGGAGGGACTGACCCGCTTCGGCCCCCAGGCTTCTGCTCCGCGGCTCCCCGCACTCGGACCGGACCCGCTCCCGGGGACCTACTTTCTGTTTTCCTCCTCTCGCCTCTTTGTTGCCCTGACACCCACCGGGCTCCAGCCCCCAACTCCTCCGGGAGTTGATCTCCGCAGCCCCGGGAGCACCTACCGCCCTCCTGCACCCGCCGGCCGCCGCGCCCCCGTTCCTCCGGGAAGCCGACCTCGACTTCATTGATGCACCCATTCCAGTGGTGTAACGGTGAGTCCGGGAAGGGATGAGTCCTGGGCGCGAGGGCTAGCGCCGGAGGAGGGAGGAGAGCGCGCTGTGCTCCGCAGCCAAGTTTCTCCCGCGCTGGGACGGCCCAGATGGAGTCCGGGAGCCCCACCGGGCTCTGCACAGCGCGCGGTTTGAAACCATCCCTTCCCATTCTGGGGCCTGGAAACGTCTGGAAGCATGTGACGGGCCAGGGGCGTGAGAGCCTAGGGCTTCCCGGCCTTTGTGTGGCAGTCCGGCTTCTCTACCCCTTCCCTGCCTTTGTGCGCTCCAACTTGTTCTTTGTTGTGGTGGTTGGAGGAGCGTTAAATCCGCGCTCAGGCTGGGATCTCCTAGAGGGAGCTCAAGTTCCCGTCCTGAAACTTTGCAGGCTATTTTAAATATGTATACAATACAGCGTGCGGGACGGTGGCCTGCCCTGCCTTTGTTGGTGTCCACTGGCTCTTCAGGGGAAGACGCTGGATTAAAGAGCGTCCGTTTACTGAATGGACAAAGCTTTGCAGGTAGCTTGGCGTCCAGCTGCCCCTGGGGTGCAGGGCTGGCGTGGCAGGAGTTTTGTTTTTCAGCTACAAGGCCAGACCTTGGGTCCTGGCCCAGGTAGGATGGGCACCTCCAGACTCAGCCACCCACCCCCTCCCCACCGGGTGATGATGCTAAATTAGTTCACTTGAGGCTTTTGGGTTTTTCAGGTGATACAGGTTAGGAGAGGGTATGGGTCTCTTGTCTAAACTACCTGAAAGAATCCTGAGCTGTTCACTTAAACCTTGAGTACAAATACCAACCCCTCCCTCAGGAGTCCGAGTCTCCACCACTTTTTTCCAAACTTGCAGAGTTGGGTGAGGTGGGAAGCAGCTGGAGTATGGCAAGCTGGTTAGTTAGGGGGAAAAAAATCCATTCTTGAGAGTAGACTCCTGCCAGATCTTGGATTAATTATTTCAAGAGTCTTTTGTTTAAGGCAGGGTTTGGACAGCATGTGTGTATGAGTGGCCCCCATCCCCCCTTCTTCCTCCTTGTGCTACTTGGATCTAATTTCCTGAAAATGAACGAAGCTGTGTGTGTGATAGGTCCAGAACGGAGAGGGGCGGTGTGGGGGGAGTGTAAGGCTGTATGGTGCATCCCAGCATCTGGGAAAGATTCCCGTTGGCTGGGAAGGAGGAGCAGTTCCCAGATCTGGCAGTCCTTCTTGGCCAGCCTTGCTCTGACGTCATTCCCGCGTGCAGCCTGCCAGCCGAGATGAGACCTTCTAACGTCCAGGCAAAGACAATGGACCAGGGGCTTTGGGAGAACTGAGAGCTGTCAACCACCATGGCCTTCTGGGCAGTACCTGCGCGATCATGGGATCTCTCACTGTTTCACACCTCCATGGTGTTGGACTTTTTGAGACAGGGTCTCTCTGTAGCCCCAGCTGACCTGGAACTTGCAATATGGACCAGGCTGGGCTCCATCTCACAGAGATCCACCCCCCAAGTGCTGGGATTAAAGGTGTAGGCCATCACACTTGGCCATCACTCTTTTTGAATTCATGACACCATAAGGGAAAATTTCACTTTGAAACTTGGCTTCATGCAGAAAATTATTTAAAATATTGTATAAAGTAGTCATCAGGCTACAATAAGTTATATGAAATAATAGGATGAATTTCATATTTAGACAAGCTCCACCCCCAAGATAAGACATTATTCATGAGTATTCCAAAGTAAAAAAATCTAAAATCCCAAACACATCTGTTCTCAAGTATATGAGAAGACGGTTACTCATGCTGTAATACAAGCAGATCTACTCTTGTTTCTTTTTTGGGTGGTGGGGAGATTGGTCTTTTTTGAGACAGGGTCTCCCTGTAGCCCCAGCTGGCCTGGAACTCACAAAGGTCCACCTGCCTCTGCCTCCCAAGTGCTGGCATTAAAGGTATGCACAGCCATGCTCGGCTCATGATCTACTCACTGTGTCAACCATTCTGGCCTTGGAAACTTAGGGTAACTTTCCTGTTTGACCTTCCCAGAATGCTAGAATTGTGCATGAGCTACTATGCCAGGCTTATATAGTCTTGGAACTGCCTCCTTATTTATCTTATAAAGTCCCAAGTCCACTGATTCAGTTCTAGAGCCCCAAGAACAGCTTTTCAGGAGACAGGAAAGGATGGAATAGAGAAACTGATCCAGGACTGTTGGGACCAAAGTATCTGCAGGGTCTGTCCTCCCAACGCCATTGCCATTCTCAGAATAGGAAGCATTCTTTGGGACCCAATAGATACCAGGGTCCAGCTCATGTAAGATACATAGCCAAGCATAGCAAATGTGGGGAGGGGGTTGGCACTCTTAGAGCGTCAGATACTAGTATGGCTAGAATTTTCGGGAAGGAAGTTCCTAGGCCCTTTACCAGTGCAGAGTGAAGGATGGTACTCTTACAGCATGATGCCTTCATAGGAAGTTGCTCCCCTTTGAAAAGGCCCATGGAGAGCAAATACCCAAGTGGGAACCAGTGGTAAAAATGGCATTCTTTCTAACCCCCCAGTGGAACCTAGAAGCAAAAGGCATCCTATTGGGCAAAGCAAAGTTTTGTAGATAATTGCCTCTTTAATTTCCCTGTAATTAAAAATTCCTTTGGAACAAGAACTTCTTTTGCTTTCTATTTCCCTACAAGGACTAGGTCAATGTATAAAGGCCCACAACAGTACTTGTTGGCTGACTGGTGATTTATTAGCCGAGGGCAGTTTCTGGGCAGTTTTCCCAAACATCAGTCTTACTCAGAGAGAAGAGACCTTGCCAAGGAGGCCAGGTTGCTTTGAGAAAATGGTGAGTTATTTGTCTGCTAAGTAGCTATGTAGACAAGCTAAACACTAGCTTAGGACACTGGAGAGTACGTAGGAGTTCAAGTTTGTGTAACTCAGGCCTGGGTGGAGGGTTTAGGCTTGTTGGGAGGACTGTACCCGCACCATGACTATTTTTGTCTCAGGATTATAGACTCACCTCTACAATGACACTGGGTAGGGAAAACTTGTATCTGTTTCTTGTAGGGAAAGTTCTTTTATCCTTGATGTCAAACATCCTGCCTATCATATAATCAATGCGGAATGAATGTTGTAGTCAAATTAAGTTAATACCAGTAAGCTGGGTGTGGTGACACGTGTTTTTAATCCTGGCACACGGTAGGCAGAGGCAGGCAGGTCTCTTGAGTTCAAGGCCAGCCTGGACTACGTAGCAAGCTCCAGGCCAGCTGGGGCTACAGGGAGACCCTGACTCAAAGAGACACCCCACCACCACCACCATAAAAAAGGTTGATGCAACAACAGAACAGCAGAAGATGATTTGTAAGCAAAAAACATTGCAAGTGTTGCAAGTCCTGAGTAGAATTCTTTAAGAGAGGGGTCATTGCAATGCCACAGGGACCAGGACCTGGGGATGTAGCCCAATGCTAGAGCACTGCCTTGCACATGCAAAGCCCTCATTCAGTCCTTATCCCCAGCACTGGAAAGGAAAAAGCACAGAGACCAGGACTCGACTTCAGAAAGAGAAGGAATTCTGGGCAGGAAGGTTCCAAAAACAAAGGAGATACAAGGACAGGGTTGGGCAGGATGTAGTGAGGAGACAGGGCCTTGGGGTCGCCCTGGAGAAGTCAAGCTGAGCAGGGTGCATGTTGCTATGCACTTTCAGCTAGACAAGAGTTTGCAAAGTACACGGTAAATGGAGCAAGTAGGAGGATGTGTCAGCTGTGAAGGATAATTGGAGAAGGAACTAGAAGCAATTAGGAGACAGTAGTAGGTAATGTGTATAAAATAAGGATGTAACAGAATGAGGCCTGGCCTTAGATATTTGGATGATGAAGTCTTAGGTCATCAATTGATGTCATGTAAAGGGATGAAATGTGCTGTGTGCCACACTCGGCTTTCTCACACTGTGATAGAATCATAATCATACACACTTAAGAAAATGTATTTTAACTCATGATTTTAGAGGTTTCAGTCTATGAAACAGGAACAACCTGGCTTTACCTCATAGAAGATAAGAAACAGGGTAAGGGGCCAGGTCAAGACACAGCCCCAAGAACCTGACCCTAGGGATCTACCTCCCGTAGCTAGGCCTCACCTCCCAAAGCTTCCAGAACATCTCAAAAGATGGGGAACAGCCATTTGACACATGAGCAGCAGAGGTATTTCATATCCAAATCTGAGCACGATGTCAGAATTTATTCCAGTCTTTGTAGCCGGCTTCTTGTGGAGTTGCAGTACCACTTAATTTTGGTAATTACCAGATAGAGTTCTGCTAAACATTCATGGGTCTTGGCTCCTAACCAAAAAGCCAGAAAAGTGCCTAGGTCCCAAGGTCTGAAAGGGCCTAAGGTCTGATCTTATCTGTGAAATGATTTGAGTCTTTTCCCATTGATGGGGAAGTTTTGTGTACTGTGACACTAGAGAGATGAAGAAAGAACCTCAAGGCGTTGGTATCCCCCACCTAGTAGTCACAGGTACTAGGGAGGCAAGGCAGGAGCATCGGTCCAGACCAGCCTGGGCAACATAGTGAGATTCCAGGCATCTGTTTAAACAATAAAAGCCAGGCTTGTGATTCCTGCTACCTCGGGAGGCTGAGGCAGGAAGATCAGAAGTTCAAGGCCAGCCTGGGAAACTGAGTGAGAAGACTAAGTCTCAAAATTTTTAAAGAAATGAAATAAGTAAAAAGAGGACCAGGAATAGAGAATGTGGTTGAACTACAGCAGGGAGTCAGGAACCCCTCCTTTCCCAGCTTAGGCTCTGGCTTTTTGTCTCTTGTCAGTTTCCTCTTAGCTCCACCCATCAAGGTGTCTCAAAAGAGATAAGGAGAAAATATTTAAAGAAATTATGTTGAATTGGGGTTTCACTGTATAGCTCAGGGTGACATGGAACTCATGATTCTCCTGCCTTAGTCTCCTGAGTAGAGGCCTCTCAGGTAGCTGGGATTATGTGTGCCATCATTCCCAGCTAAGAGCATCTTCCTGTTCCTGAAGACTTTCCCAGCATACACTCAGTTGGACTCTAGATACTGGCAAGAGGGGATGACTGCCACAGCCAGAGGGCCGGTGACGGAGAAGCCACCAGAGGCCAGACAGTGCTTCCTGATCTGAATGTGCAGGGGACTCTCCCCAGGCCTCCTCAGACTATGACTGAGGTTTATCTAGTCTGGGGTCCTAAGACTGCATATTTCTAAGAAGTCCCCAGGGGGTGTCCTGTCATGGAGACTGCATCTTGAGGCTGTAAGTAAAAAGGCAACCACTCAGGGAAGCTACAGCTCCCTGACACCAACCCCCACCACCACTTTCTGGAGTACTCGCCTGCTCTTAGAGTAGACAATTTCTATTCTGGTCCTGGCACAGCTTGCCTTCTAGAGCAGGTGGCTTAGTGACAAATGACCTTTGCAGTTTATAAAGTCTTTCTTACACCATTATTTCTACTCCTCTCTGTATTTTGCTACTTTTCATATGCCAAAGTGAATTCTTAAATAATAGCTTCTTTTTTTAATTAATGGTTAAAATTTAGTGTATATGAATGTATTGCCTGCAAGCATGTAAGTGCACCTGTGTCATGCAATGCCCAAGGAGGCCAGAAGAGGGAATAAGAGCAGCCAGTTTTGTGGTTTGGTTTTGTTTTTATTTTGGTGTTTTATCCATTTTCTGCCCCTTTCTTTCAATCAATGATTCATTTAAATACTTTCCATGGCGGGGCACTTCACAGATTGGCTAGGTAATTTACCCAGGATTATGTAGTTACTAAGGGTTAGTATTGGGCTCTAAGCTCAGGCTGCTGAATCAGACTCAGGAGCCAAGGGCCTGCTATTTCTACTGACAAAGTATGCCATCGACCCCAGTGTGTCTAATTCTAGTATTTACCTCTTCCTTTGCAGGGTGTTTCTGTGGCCTGGGACTGGTGAGCACCAACAAGTCCTGCTCAATGCCACCTATCAGTTTCCAGGACCTTCCCCTCAACATCTACATGGTCATCTTTGGAACAGGCATCTTTGTCTTCATGCTCAGCCTCATCTTCTGCTGTTATTTCATCAGGTTGGTTGGTTGTGGCTGACCTAAGGAGGGAGGTCAAGGAAGAAAGAGGCTAGAGCATAGAGGAGATTGAGCAAGGGTCCGACTCATCAGAGCCTTGTGGTGGAGCCACTGGTGGGAGGATGTGGCTTAGACCTCCTTCTCTGGGCCCCTGAGTTCTGGTGTTTCTGTTTACATCAGCCTATTAAGTTGTCCCAGAGCACATAAGGTCACCCAGGGTTGGACTGCATCCCACCTCCTGGCCAGTTATTCTGAGCTTGCCTAGAATTACTGTGTAGTTGGCTGATACAGCCAGCAGCCCCTTACCTGTCTTCTCCTGTCCACCCATACCCACTAGGCATCTAAGGAAGGGGGTCATTAGTTTCTTTGCCATCCTGGGAAAGTATCAACTCTCCTGATGCTGGTGTTAGCAAGCTCATGCTAGAAAACTGTTTGTGTTCTGTCTTGTAAGTGTTTGTTTTTGAGAATGGAAAGGATGAATGATATTTAGTCTTAATTGCTTGGGGATCAAGGAAAGGACTTGAGCTTGGCAGGGGTAACTGAGCTCCCAGAACTGTTTCTCCTTGTTGAAGGACATAGGACCTGTGGCTGTTTTCTCCTAAAATGTTGGGCATGGGGTAGGGAGATAGGATTGGCTGAATCTAGCCCTGGGATGTGGAGATGGGATCCCTAGAGCAAGTAGGTCATCTTCTCTAGTTGGATCGGTGAGCTCTCGGTTCAAATGAAAGAACTTGCCTCAGTGGATAAAATGGAGAGCCACTGAGGAAGGGTGCCACCGTCAGCCTTGGACCTCCACACACACAACATGCATACAGGTGTGAGTACACACATGCTTACATGCATGCTCACATGCATACATGTGTGGGCATACGCATGAAGGAGGAAATGTTTGGCATGGTTAATATTTAGCATGGAAAGCAAAGTGGAGTTCCTCCAGCTCAGTGTTCTGTTAACACTGAGGTTTCCTCATGGTGTAGGTCTATTCTGCACACTGGAGAGACTGGGACCTCTCTGGCAATAGAACATGCTAGCAATCCTTAGAGCCTTTGTGACAGCTGGCCCCTCCCCCTGGCACACATGGGGAGGCATGGGTTGGAGTCTGACAAATGTGTTCAGAAAATGAAGAGACAGGCGTTTTGGAACCCTATTTGTCTTCCCTCCTGGGGCATAGCTTCTGTCTGGGAGGCAGACACTTGGAAGAAGATAGGGACAGAGCATTCCTCCAAGGCACCCTTGGCCGCCCTGGGCTCCTCAGGATTTGAATTTTTCTGTATAAATCTATGCAGAAGATTTTCTTATTGTCACTAACAGGCATGCCCATAGGCTTGTGGACTGGACTTTGCTAAGGGCTTTTCTATGCCAGGCATTGTGGTTAGCATTCTATAAAACACTTAACTTGCTTTTCTGTGAACAACCTTCCAGTGTAAATGTTAGCCCACTGCATAAATGAAGACATTTGTGTCCAGACAGCTAAGGGTTTGTGCAAGGTCGTACCTCCAGGGAGCTGCTGAGATGGGCTAATCTGACAGTTTAGTCTCTCACATCCTCTGTGTGTCTGTTGTGACTCTCCTTCCCTGCATAGGGAGTAGAGGTGGCATCTGTGGCCACCCCCTTACAGCCGGTATCCGTGTTCTACAGAAGGACAATTTATGGAGCCCTGTGTAACTAGCTTGTTTCTTTTGGGCTATAACAGAAGAACAGAGAAGCGACCACGTGATACCAAAAGCTGGCCGCACTGTGGTGCTGCGTGGTGCTATCTGTCCTTTCTACGGTAATCTGTTCCTTCATCATCCCACCCATGTCCTGTAGCCTGTACAAAGCCAGCTGACCCCCAGGTCTCAGTTCCAGAGGCTCACTGGTATGTAGTACGTGTGTCTATATATAGAAAGACACACAAGCACATAAACCACTTCCTCTCCTGCTTCTCGGTTTCCTCCTCAGCCAAAATAGGCCCATGACTGCCGCTCCTGACCCAGAGAGCCCTTGAGCCAAGGACAGCCCTCACTGTCAGCTGCCCCTTGCTTCTCCCCTTCCCCCTTAAAGCTGACCTCTGCCTCACACAGGATGGAGGGGTCAGTGAAGTACAAACAGGCAGGAAAGGAACAGTTATTTTCAGGAGCTCGTTGCATTGTTTGTTCTAAAAGGGAAAAGAGGAAAAAGCCCACTGGCAGTGGACTGCAATGGTCTTACTGAAATCAGGGTATTTTTAGTTGCATTGCTCACCCAACAGCTGAGAAAGCCACCTGTCCAAAGCTCTTGGCTCTCCATCCCCAGCCAGGACTGGCCCAGAGTCTTTTTTGCTGTTTTCCTTGCAAGCTTTTCAGCCTCATCTCCTTATGATCTAATCCTTCCCAAGATGAAGTCTTTATGCAGGACAAAGTTGTATCTCTGAGGGTCCTGAAGGATCTGGGCAAAACGATTAAAGTGAGCCAGCCAGAAGACAAGATGGTGGAATGGTCTTAGGCACCTAGGACCCGGCAGGCAGAAAGTACACCACACATCACACAAGTAGAGATGAAGCAGTTGAACCTCACTCAAAAACCATGGCATTCCCTCATTTAAACTCTTCCCCTTCTCCAAGACCAAGTTTAAAATGGAATGTAGCTCTGTGATAGACAGCTTGTCTGACATGCAGTTACTCCTTAGGACTGGAGAGAGGAGGGCAGGCAAAGGGGCCACAAACAGACTGGGGATGTAGCTTGGCTGGTAGGGTGCCTAGCATGCATAAATCCCTCAGTTAAATCCTCAGCACTGAATAAACTGGATGTGGTAATGCACTCAACCCCAACACCTGGAGGTGGAGGCAGGCGGATCAGGTCACCCTTGGCACATAGCCAGTTTGAGACAAGCCTGGGTTACATGAGACTGTCTTCACAAAAAGAAAAAGGAAAACTTTCTTTTCTAAAAAAGCCACAGTGTCCTTCTCCCTCCTTAGAGGGCTGCTGAGAAGCCAGGCTGCTGACACCTGGAATGCCAGCACTCAGGCTGAGGCAGGAAGATCTCAAGTATGAGGCCAGTCGGCTGCATGGTGAGACCCTGTCTCAAAAAACCAGTAACAACGGCCATAGCCCTGAGCTGATGAGCATGTATCCTTCCTTCCCCAGCTTAACTCAGTCTAGTCAGGTAACATCTCACTTGGGCTTTGGTACACCTTTCCCTGCCCCTCCCACTTGGAAGCTGAGATAGGTGCTTGCACTATATGAAAACGTTCTCAGGACCACAGAGTTCTACCCATTAAGAATGGGTCAGTGGGAGCCCTGCTTAGGCCTTCAGCCCAAGCCTGCAAGTGAGCAGACAGCACATGGTGAGGAGAAGGGGATGGGGGACAGTGCATATGCCACATTAGCCCTCCCTGGCAGGTATCCACCTGGCTGTGACTTCCTCTGAGGCTCCAGGAACATTCAACCTTGCCAGACCATGTGACTTCCTGTCATGAAGGATGAAGGAGGCTGGCAGCCAGCTGGATCTTATCCACCCTGAACCACTCCTCAGGCATAGCTCTCCTCACCACCCAAAGAGGAACTTCAGCCTCTGACATGAGGTTCTGTGTTTCTAGCTGGGGCTAGCAAACTTCTTGTTTACAGGCTTTGTGGGTCCTGAGGTCTCTGTCACAACCACCTAGGCGATGACAACATAGAAACTGAGTGTGCTTGTGTACCAATGATGTTTAAAATGTGACTCTCCTTCCTTTCTTCCTTCTTTCTTCCTTTCATCTCTCTCTGTCTCTCTGTCTCTTCCTTTCCGGTACTGAGACTAGAACCCAGGCCTTTGCACATGAAACACGTATTCTACCACTAGTACACCTCGGCTCTGAATTTTCAGACCCTGAGAAGAAATTCTTTTTTGTTATTATGAGATAGTACTTTTGACCTCTGTTTTTATTTATTATTTTTATTTTATATGTATGACTGTACTGCCTGCATGTATGAGTGCATCTGTGTTGTGCAATGCCCGAGGAGGTCAGAAGAGGGTATTGAAGTGCCTGGAACTAGCCGTTAGCTGCCATGTGGGTGCTGGGAGTTGAACTCAGGTCTTCTGCAAGAGCAGTCAGCACTCTTAACTGCTGAACCATCTCTCCAGCCCTACTTCTGGTTTCACACAGTGAGGAATGAAAATCATTCTTAGCTTATGGACCTTCTGAGAACAGGTAACAAGCCGGGCTTGGCCCTCAGACTGCCCCCACTCCTATGTGGTGAGCTGCTTGTGTTCCCTCAGTAACTCAGACCTATGTTGGAAGAGTATGTGTGTGCTGCGTATGTTGGTTACTCTTTTCATTGTTGTGATAGATACTTCGTTTTCAGTTCAGTCCATGGTCACTTAGCCCCAAGTGTTTGGGCAGAACCTCCTGGTGAAAGAACTTGTGACAGAGACTCTTCTTCAGTTCTTGGCTGATGAGAGATAGAAAGGAGAGGAGATAAAAGAAGTGGAGGTTAGGGGGGTATGCCTCGGGTCCACCAATTTCCATTAAGGCCATCTTACCATAAATCCATCCAGAGATCCCATGATCTGTGTCTCTAGAAAAACCATCACGGACACACCCAGATTTGTGCTTTGCTAATCTGGTAATTCTAAATCCAGTTAACTTGAGCATTATAACACACTTGAGGCCCTGGGTTCAATTCCTATCACTCAAAAAAAGGTAAGAAAGTTCCATTAGGTTCCCTTACTGCCCATGTAGAGGAAGACATTTAAAGCTACTTGCAGCTGGGCACAGGAGAACATGCCTGTGACCCCAGCCATTCATGAGGATTATGAGTTTGTAGTGTCCTGGGTGCATAGTAAGATTTTTGTCCCAGAAAGAAACAACAAAAGCTACATATAGGATTCAGAATGAAAGTTTTTTCCCCACTGAAAATAATTAGGGTCCAAGCCATTTGCACAGTAGCCACTCAGTCATAGGCTTAATAAAAGTATAGAATGTGTCTCAAGATCAAATCCTATGCATGCTACCTAAGGAGGAACAGATCATATTTTGTGGTAAAGAGGACAGACTTTGCCACCACACAGACTTTGACTCAAACCCAGGTGCTGTTACCCCACTAGCAACATGTGGGAAAATTGCTTAACTTCCTTGGGTTTCATTTTCCTCATCTATAAAAGGGAAACTTTCTTCCCAGAGTTGTTTGGATTCAGTGAGACAATGTCAATCTCCAAGCGACACATAACATGTCCTGGATCGACTATCACACCATTGCTATGAGTAACAACATGGCATGTTTTGGCTACCAGGAGTCAGGCAGTGCAGGTCACCAGCTTAAAATGTACAGGAGAAAACAAAGAATTGCAGCCCTGGCTCCTGGCCCTCGGGGAGAAGCACTCTGGTTCCACGGTACTCCTGTCCTCTGGGTAGAAGTTTCCCCAGGGCCAGCAGACATGTATCTTGTTATTTTGGTTTTGGCTGCAGCTGTAACTTGACTCAAACCAAGAGTCACCTGGGAAGACAGACCCTCCACTGAGGAATTTCCTCTATCAGATAGGCCTGTGGGCAGGTTTGTGGGGCATTTTCTTGATTACTAATCAATGTAGGAAGGCCTAGTCCATTCTGGGTAGTGCCATAGGCAGGTGGCCCTGTGCTGTAGAAAGGAAGCCAGGAAGAAGTGGTCCTCTAGCCTCTGCTTCAGTTCTGCTTTGAACACAAATAAACTTTTCTTCCCAAGTTATTTTTGATTGTGGTGTTTATCACACCAGCTTCATGGAATGTCCCTTTAAGAGCATCTGTGTCACCCCCTCAGTGCACATGGAAACATGTTGTTTGGATACCTGGAGGAATTTAGCTACTGGGAAAGAGCAAGGAAAGATAAGCTGTTTAGATATCCTGCTGGAGAATCCCCCAGAATGTGGCTGGGACCTGCCAGTAAACCTTAGCCCTTGGTCAAATCTAAATGGCCTCTCTGGGCCTGAACTATGCTGATTGGTATCTATGAAACAAGCAGCCGCCAATTTCACCTACTGTTCTTGTCTTGTCAGTGCCAAAGACTGGTAACTGCTCTTCTCTTTCTTTCTGCCCCCAGCAAACTCCGGAACCAGGCACAGAGCGAGCGATATGGCTACAAGGAGGTAAAGTACCATCTCTTTCCCAGCCACTTCCTCTTTGACCACCTGTCCTAGCTTCCATAGCCTGGATCCCCTAAGCCTCCTCCCTGGGTCACCCTAAGGCTTAGCACTCCTATAATGTCCTCGGATTGGGCTTACCCTCAGCCATCACAGAGAGAGACTCTTCTCATCAGCTGATTCTCACCTGCCTCTTTCCTCCCTAGGTGGTGCTTAAAGGTGATGCCAAGAAGTTACAGCTCTATGGGGTAAGTGTCCTGGGACAGTGTTCAGGAGAGCCACGCTGAGAGCACCTTTCTCCAGCTCTTAGCTTGGCCCTTTCCCAGAATCTTTCATCTCTGCCTTCATGTCTCTTTGTGCAAACAGAAGGAACTTTATCCAGCAGGTAATTCATCATGTCTAGAGTCGGATCAGGCAGAAAATGTTCAGATTACAAAAGGGTACAGTAAATGAAAACAAGAATCCTGCTGTGCATGATCTGTAAGGGAAGGGTGGTCACAGAGCTCTACACCATAGACCATGTTCAGGTAGCTTTCCTACGTTTGATGCCTATATCTTAGTCTGTCCTTTGTATATAAGCTGTCCGGACAGACTGGATCTGACTAGTATACCCCTTGCAGTAGCTCTTGCCTGTCTCCCCTCCATCCCTGCACATGTACTCCCAAACCCTGCACACATACACACACATCCCTACACACATAATACCAATTCCAGAGTCTCTCAGCTTTGACTCTTAGCAGGCCATTTGCTGATCCAGTCCCACCTCTACCTTTGAGTCACCTAACTCATCTCCCACAGCTTCCATCAGCCACAGACACTCCTAATCACAGAGTGTTTGCGGTGTCTGGGAGTGGGTAGGATTCTAGCATCACCAAACATGAGACTCTAGACATGGCCTCATTTTACTAATGTTTTCCTGTTGCTACTGCACCTCAGGTTCATGAAGAATAAATTTCATGTGTCTCCTCCACAGTAGTTCAGCTAAGATCATGGAGTTTCATAAACAGAAATATTTGGGTTTAAAGAATGTAACTGACCAAATCTAGCCTTCCTTCCGTTTGTGGTTCCCAGGCACCTCCCTGGCCCATGGGTTAGACTAAAAAGAACTTAAAACTATATTAGAGTGGTGCTGTTTAGTGGAAATGTGTGTTAAGTGGGATGTTCTCTCCCATCTGGGATCCATTTAGCCATAGGTAGCTGTTAGGTATTTGAAATATGGTCAGCTGCCTCCAGAGCATGAGAGAGCCTGAGAATTCATGTCAAAGCAAGTCTGAGCCCTATAAGTAGGCACCATGAGCAAAACTTGCTCTCCTAGGAATAGAAGATTATAGATGATTAGATAGATAGATAGATAGATAGATAGATAGATAGATAGATAGATAGATAGTACATAGATAAGTTATGAGTGAAATTAAATGATTGCATTCATGCCCAGGAAGTGCTGTGGAGATCTGATCACTTTATGGAATGGTGGGGGCATGAAAAAATAGTGCATCATCGAAGAAGAATTAGCATGTCTAAACAGTGACAACTGGACATGGTAGCACACATCAACAGTCCCTCAGCAGTTGGAAAGTGAAGGCAGGAGGATCAGAAGTTCAAGGCCAGCCTTTGCTGCATAGTGAGTTTGAGGCCAGCTTGGGCTATGTGAGCTTATATCTCAGAAAAACAAAATCCTCAGGGCTGGAGAGATGACCTCATGGTTAAGGGGCCCAGCACCCACATGGTGGCTAACAACTATCTGTAACTCCAATTCCAGGAGATCTGACACCTCTGTCCTCTGCCAGCACTGCATGACACAGGTGCACTTACATACATGTACCCATAACAGTCATCACATAATTTTTTTTTAAAGCCAAAACCTAAAATAAAATAATACTGTTCCAAGAAACCATGTCCCTTGTCTGAAGGGCTTGCTTTGCTAGAGTATAAAAATTAGATCATGCACTGTCCTAGTGGTTTTTTGGGTTTTTTTTTCCTTTTTGGGGGGAACTCACCAGGTAGACCATGCTGGCTTTGAACTGACAGAGCTGCCTGCCTCTACCTCCCAAGTGCTGGGATTAAAGGTGTGGTAAGTGTGGCCAGGAGCTGAGGGGCTACATTTATCATTTCTAATTTTGGTTAATTTAAATAAACAGCCAGGTATGGTTTTCGACTCGTATACATTCCATGTAGTTTATAAATCTACATTATAAATGCTGAGCCTTCTCTGGCTGACAAAGGAGACTGGGCTAGAGCTTGGCTTTCTTGTCTGGGGATGAGAGGACAGATATTCAAGATGAATGAGTGATCGGCTCCTCAAAGCTCCTGTCACTCACAATCCCTCTCTCCACAGCAGACCTGTGCAGTTTGTCTGGAAGACTTCAAGGGAAAGGACGAGCTAGGTGTGCTTCCATGCCAGCATGCTTTCCACCGCAAGTATGTGGGGGTATGGCCAAGGGGTGTCCTGGAGTGGTAATTGGGGAGCATCTTCTAGAACTTTCTAATCCTGCTACCTCCATGCATTGTCAGTGAACCTCTAGGTTCTATGGTGTCTGGACACCCAGCATACCAGAGGGGTTAGGTCAGAGCAGGCACAGGGATATTATTGTTCTCAGAAGCAGCTGGACTTAGACAGCTGGAACCATCCGGGGTGTCTCCTCAGAGATAACAGTCTCTTGTTCACAGGTGTCTGGTGAAGTGGCTAGAAGTGCGCTGTGTCTGCCCCATGTGTAACAAGCCCATTGCTGGCCCCACGGAGGCCACTCAGAGCATCGGGATTCTGTTGGATGAGCTGGTGTGAAGGCTTGACGGCTGCCTGCATGGACTGGAGAAGACTTCTTGCTTTGTGGGCACCTGGTTCCTCTACAGAATGAACAAGACTGTTGGGTGGCATGGGGCTGGGCTTCCAGCAGGGTAGGACTATTGCCAGACTTGCCCGTCTCTGCCTCCTAGAACTTCTTTCCTATTACCCAGTACCAACGGCTTCACCCAGCCTGACCACTCTATTCCTGGTACTAGATTCTCCACCCGCTTCATTCTTGCCCGGGAAAGGAGTCTACCCTTGTCTGGCTATGCAAATGGGCACTTCATTTGGAGGACAAGCTCCTCTGATCTGGAAGGAAGGACCTGACGTTGCCCCGCCATGATCCTCCTGCCAGAGTCTTCCATGGGATGGTTTGAAGGGAAGGAACCAAGACAGGAGAGGCTCTGCGTGAAGTAGGGGAAGACAGGGCCTAGAAAAGGGAAAAGTCATGTTTACATGGGACCTAGGAACCAGGCTGACCTCATGCTGGCCAACTGCAGGGTGATGGGGCCACCCCTTCCCTGTTAGGATCTCGGTGCTGTCCATTTTCTCCTCCTCCCCTGGTTGATCTCAGAGCTTCCTACTCCATATTGGTTTTGGAAAAACCCTGGTTTAAAGAAAGGACTTTTTTTCTACCCTCAAACCGTTCGCAGGAGCTTTTTCTAGAAAAGCAAAGGGATCCTAAGGATGGGGGTGTCTGGAGGTTACAGTAGGGACAGGTGTCTACTTCCCCATTGTAAATAGTATTTTTATACTTCATCCTCACCTTCTCAGGCTTTATACATATGACCCCCCCAGGATGGAGGGAGTGGGGTCTCCAAGTGGCTGAGAGAGGAAAAGGTTATGTATTTAAAGAAAATTAAATTTAATGACATGTTTCTTTAATCAGATTTTTATGCCTGTGGTTGTGTCACACCATAACCCTGAGGTTTCTAACCCTTAAAAATTGAGGGCTGGGCATGTAGCTCCGTGGTGCTTGGTTAACATGCACAAGACCCTGAGTTTAGTCTCCAGCACTGAAAAAGAAAAAGATTACCTATACAACATTTGAAGTTTAACACCAATGAAGCTAGGATGTGATTTCTAGAAAAATTTTCAAACAGTTCCAAGCCAGTCTGATCTACATAGCGAGTTCTAGGCCAGCTGGGACTACAGGGAGACCCTGTCTCAAAAAGACTGAAAAAAGAACTCTTATTAACATATAAGTGTAAAAAATTCAAAAAAAAAAGAACCTTGCTAAGACTTGGAACTGATAGAATTCTACCTGTAATTTGGTTGTCAATGACCTTGCAACTTGAAGGTTATGCTACCCTGGAGACCTAATCTCTTTGTTCTTGCCGACAGTCCCTCACTGGCACATCCTTTCCTCCAGAACCTGGTCTAGAATTCCATACAGTAGCACTTAGGTTCTCTACCCATGTCCTGTAATTTGGCTCTCTGTCTCAAGGGGCCGCTCGGGAGCAAATCAACAGTGAGGGCAGAATGCCCTGGCTGCCCCTGCTCAGTAGAACAGGTCAGTGAACAAGACTGTTGGGTGGCATGGGGCTGGGCTTCCAGCAGGGTAGAATCATTGCCAGATTTGCCCATCTCTGCCTCCCAGAACTTCTTTCCTGTTACCCAGTACCAACAGCCTCACCCAGCCTGACCACTCTATTCCTGGTAGTAGATTCTCCACCCGCCTCATTCTTGCCTGGGAAAGGAGTCTACCCTTGTCTGGCTATGCAGATGGGCCAGGCATCATATCCTGGGTGCTGAAAACAGGAAGTGCATTCTGAGCCCTGTACAGTGTACTGGCATCGTCTGCCTAACTATCCATCTTCTGAGGTGCCAAGCACCCAGGGCAGATGTGGTGCCTCTTAACCCTGCAGCTGTCCTGTGGAGACTGGTGCACCTGGGTACTTGACAGTGAAGTCGCTGGTACTGTCTCTTTGGTGTCTTCTGCACAAAGGTACGATGGTCCTCCACGCTAAGAACCCTGCTTACTGCTGCCACTGTCCTAGGACCAGATCTCTCTCCAGTGGACACTACCTCCTCCTCCAGCCCTGCGCCTTAAGTGTTGGGGAACAAGATGCATTTGTTCAGCCAGACAAGGCCGCCTACGTGGGTGCGTACATCGGCTTCCTCTCTCCTGCCTTACCTCGCTATCAGGAAACCACTGTTGTTAGCATAGTTCTGATGAAAATGTTAGCAGTAAAATCTCACAAATTTCAAGTCAGAATCCTGAGGTTAAAATGTGAGGAAAACCTCTGATTTCCAGTGCTTTCATTCCATTACATAGAACAGTACCTTCTTCCAAGAAGGGAAAATATTCCTGGTAGCTGATCAGCAGTGAACTGGCAACTGAGCACAAGTTAAGTCCTAAGTCACACAGTCATTTGTGAAGTTCTCTTACCTAGTTCAGCTCCTCTGGCAGAGAGACCCCTTACTCAGCTGACAATGAAAGCAGTGGCCCTTGCCATGCGATGCCTGATCTCCAGTAGTGTGGCCAGTCACCGTGACAGACAAGACTGTTGGAGACCAGGAGTTGCAAACGATTCTATATGAAGCTGTGGGGTTTGAGACAGAACCCTAGAGTGTGTTTAGATCAACATTTTAAAAATCCAAACATCATCTGAGGTGTTTTATTTCCTCCTCTGGGTCCTACATCTTAACTACAGCACACCTATAGTATAACTTAACAACTTAACAAAGAATTTGCACCCTAAACACGTTTGAAAGGGAAAAGGACCAAAAGAAGTTGGATAGTAATCGTACACAGTAGGAGTCCAGCTTCAGTGATTTTACCAGTGGTAAGCACATACCATAGTGCCAACCAGAAGCTAATGAGAACTGTTTTCTAAGAGACCATTTTGCTGCTTTTTATGAAATACACTGAGTTTTTGGATTAGGTTAAGAAAAGCAAATGGAGAGAGAACCCGTAAGTGTCAAGGCAGGGTGCTGGAGAGATGACTCCGCAGGTAAGAGCACTGACTGCTTTTGTAGAGGACCTGGGTTCGATTCCCAGCACCCACATGGCAGCTAACAACTATCCTTCCAGTTCCAAGGGAATCCGACGCCGCCTTCTGACCTCCATGGGCATTGCACCACACGGGTGCACTTAACATGCTTACATGCCAGCAGTATGCTCATTCACATAAAATTAAAAAATAGTAAAATATGTTTTTTTAAGTGTCAAGGTGAAGGCAGAAACCCAGATAGTGTGGATTTAGGTTCCAGATCAGCTTCATTGCCTGCAGCTTTGAAAGCAGATGATACTGAAGACCCTCAAAACGCCAGCTTCTGTAGCTTCTGGACTGATGGCTCAGCAAGTTAAGAGCACTAGATGTTCTTGCAGAGGACCCGGTTCTACTCCTAGCACTCACATAGCAGCTAACAACCGTCTATAACTCCAGTTCCAAGGGATTAGACACCCTTCTGATCTCAGGCACTGCATGACATGGGTGCACTTACACACATGCAGGCAATACACTCATACACATAAAATACTAAAATGTGCTTATGTGGGGAGACACACAATGTGCTCTTGTGGAGGTCAGGACAGCTTGGCAGGATTTGGTTCTACCATTTGGGTCCTGAGGATTGAAGATCCTCGGGCTTGGCAGCAAGTGCTGAACCATCTTTCTGACTGGGTTTAAGGGCTTTTGTTGCTGTTCATTGAAAGTCACTGACAGATCAGTGGGTAACTTGAAAAATTGTGTTCCCAATCCTCCTGCCTCCTGATAATTCCTACTCTTGACCTCCCTCCCCACCCCAACCAGGGCTTTGCCCCTCAATTTCATGTTTTCCCCCTTACACAGCCTATACCTAGTCCATTGCCTTCTGTGTCTTTGGGCATCAGACTAACACCTTTCCTGTCCCTGACTGCATAGCTCAGTCTGCTGAGGAAGTGCACAGGTTCAGAGGAACAGGTGCGATCAAGGTGGAAAGGACAAAGCTTGGAATGTCATGGATCATATTAAGCTCTTTATTACATCACACAATAGCACTGGATTCCAACTGATCCCATTTAAGAAAAAAACCATCCCCATTTCCTTTTTGGTAGGCTGTATGTAGGGAGACATCCCATGTCATCTTTGTGCTTTGATTCGTTCCCTGTGTGATGACTCAGCAAGAAACTGAGACGTGTTTTCCGTCAGATTACCAGAGAGGAGATCAAGAGGCTGTGGAAGGTGTTTGATGGCTACAGACCTCTTGCAAAGACAGTTTTCCTTCTCTTTCTCTTTTTAACCTTTTTCCCCCTCATCCAAGTCTGTTCTCTAATATTGTTGAGAGTACCAAATCATTATGGAATCTGCCAGATGGGCTTCTATTACAGTGAATGATTCAAAAAATACACAAATTGCTAAGGGCTTATTCTAAATGGTGGGAACTGGCCTTGAGTGTCTAGATGTTTTAATAATCATTGTATCTCAAGAAAGCTCTGATGTCCTCAAAGACATGAACAAAATCTGTGATGACTAACACAATAAACTGAGGAAGTCAGTAAGACCAGAAGGAAAAAATGTATTTCTATCACATCAGTTAGGTTGAAAAAACTCAGATCCAAAATGCAGTTTAGGAATACGGAATGCCAGGGGCCATTTTCTCTGCTACCTTCAATACTTAAATCTCCACTGGGTTATTTTGACTCAGATTTCATGTTTACAGACAAGCACACATTTTAAAGTATTGTGAAGGAGTGGGGCGTGACCGGTCAGGGAGCACTTACTTGGCATGGCAAGGCCTTTCAGACCAAAAACAACAAAAAGCTCCAAGAGGAGAGAAACTAATGGATTTTATCTGGAAAGAAAAAGACCAAAGAACAACTGACTGGTGGCCTTTAAAGGTCCTAGGTTGAATTGATCACAAGCTCAGGCATCTGGAAGATATCTTTAAACTCTAAGCCCCAACCTTCTGAAATAATGGGAAACCCATGCACTGCGCTTCTATCGCTCCGACAGTTACTTGTCTCATTGTTGTGACCAAAAGCAGTGTAAAGAAGGATTTCTTCGGCTCAGGGTTTGAGGAGCTACAGTCCATCTTGGTGGGGAAGGCTCTATGGCTGTGAGCGTGTGAGGCAACTAGTTAGGTAGAGTCAGGAAGCAGAGGTGGGACCCCACATTCTAAAGGCTCCATAACCTCCCCCAAAATACCACCACCAGCGGCCGGCTAAGTGTTCAAACATAAGCCTGTGGGGGATATTAGACATTCAAATTAATACATCCCTTCCAGAAGTATCAATAGGCCACAAATCAACAGCCTTACTCTATCCTGTATTCATTAACCAATGAACAGCCTTTCTCTAGCCTGTATTCATTAACCATTGAACAGTCTCTCAAGCTGCCCAGACCTCCCTACCACTATCTGGGGCCAAGTTCGAGGGTGAAAACGTTGATGAAACGTCAAAGGCCAAGCACATCCAGGCTCCTTTCTGGCACCACCCCGGTGTGCTACCTGAGAGGTAAATGCTGGTCTCCACTGTGTGTGGTACCTGACACCATCACCCTTTTCCAGCAGAAAGGTTGTAGCATGATGTTCCAAGAACATTTTGCTGCATCTACTCTGTCATTTTTCTACCCATAATCGATGTTTTTAATGTATTTCAAAGTAA